CCAAGAAGTTTTGTATATTGTCATATAAAATACTTTTATAATGTTACTTTTTTAGATTAAAATTATAAAGTAGACATTAATAAACAAAAATATTCATTTTTTGTGTTTATAAACTAATTTCTTTTTATTATTTGCTTATTTTTTAGGGTTTAATCAACACAAGCATTGCTAACTGCTGTATTGAACCCTCAAAGACTTGACTTAAACATGAAGTTTATAATTTTCTAAGAAAATTATGGATAGTTATTAAGGAAAGATGGTTATGGAACCTAGGGAACTACCCTAGGATATGTGGTTTTTACTTAAAAAAAATCCATCACCTAGGCGGGTGCCTAGGCAACTAGGCGACAAGGCGCCCCCTGTCGCCTAGCCTTGCCTTGGCGCCTTGAAAACTATGGTTCCAACCAACAAGCTTCTTTAGAATCCTAGATCCTAGCAATCTCACTTTGATTGGTTTTCTCCCGTCCTATCTCCAATTTAGCAACATAAATTCCTCTTTCTCCCATTTGCCAAGGCACGAAAGTATTTTGTATTGTCATCCCCTTCTTTTAACCACTTGCACCTAGACTTGTCTCCAATTGATATCTTCCCTTGGTAAGGTTTCTTTCAATTCTCTCTTTAACTTGCAACTCAAAGTTCTTTCTTTAGCAACAATAGTCCCATGTGCTTCCTTGTCATCTAATTCCTCTATTCTGGACACAAGATTTAGCTTTTACTCCTCTAGCGTTCAAAAGTGAGCCCTTTTCCACTCCTTGATTTATCCTCTCAATCTCTTTAACTTCTTGTGAAACCTTACGCCTTTCCAATTCACCCCTCCTAAATTTTCTTTCCACCAAGACTCTACTTTCCTCACAAAGTCCGGGGGTGTGAGCCACATATTTTCAAATCTAAAAGGGGTGGGGCCACTTAAAAAGGTTTCAGGACCTAGATTGATAGGGAAATAGTCTAAGGTGACTAAGCAAAGCTCCGGATACTAGATTCTCCCCATAGTTTCTCCATTCTTCATTAAACAGAAACCTTTCTAGTTTTAAACAATGGGGAGCTTCTTGAAAATTATACCAAGTGAATCTAGCTTGCATGTGAGGGAGTTCCTTCAGGTCACAAGAATCTATAAAGTCAGAACTTCCTCATACTAGTAGTCACCTATTGATTTGGATTACTAAATTCATCTGAGAACCTTATCACATTGAAATCCCCTCCCACACACTATGGTCCATCCCATAAACCCCTAACATCAAATTGTTCCTCCCACATTTCATTCCTTTCATGGTATCTATTTCGACCATAAACATTGGTAAGAACTCAACTAAAACCATCCCTCATGTTCTTAAATAAGGAAAATCTAGCAATCAATTCCTCTACAACCTCCACCACCTGGTCCTTCCACATGGTCACAATTCCCCCCAACGCCCCACAAGAGGGACTAAACGACCACCGAATTCCTCTTGAACCCTAAATGCTTCTGATCCAAAATCTATCCACCTCTAAAATTTTTGTTTCTTGTATCAAGACAATATCTGGATTTTCCCTTCTACGTAGACCTTTGATGATACTTCTTTTCCTCGCACTCCCCAAACCTCTAACATTCCAATTGATTAATTTCATAAGTTTGCTTTAATAAAAAGCCCATGTTCTCATCCGCATCTTCCATCTCTCTTTAATCCACTTTAATCTTTGTCTCCAAAAGATTTCTTCCCTCCTAACTAAGAGCTCTATTCTTGAGGAAAGTTTCAAAATTTTGACACTAAGAAGCTGGGATGAGCCAACTCTAACAGAAGAAAAGAGGAATTGGCTTGAAAGAGACTTTCAGGAGCAAGAGATAAGGGAAGCAGTATTTGATATGGATGGAGATACAGCCCCCGGGACAGATGGTTTTCCTTCTTTCAGATCTATTGGGATATAGTAAAAGATGATCTCTTGAAGGTATTTAAGGAGTTTCACTATTCAGTTGTTATAAACAAAAGCAATAACTCGACTTTTATTTGTCTCATCCCAAAGAAAGGACATGTCTTGGTAGTAAAGGATTTTAGGCCAATAAGTTTAATAGAAGGTGCGTACAAAATCTTGGCAAAGGTGTTGGCAAAAGGGACCAGAAAAGTCCTAGGAGATCTGGCCTCACCGAATCAGTTTGCCTTTGTGAAAGGTAGACAAATTGTGGACGGCATCTTAATAGCAAACAAAAGTGTCAAAGAGAGAAGGAAGACTGGTAGGCCGGCCTACTTGCCAAACTAGATCTTGAAAAGGCATATAACAAAGTTGATTGGGATTGCCTCATTCAATTTCTGAAACCGAGAGGTTTTGGTGTTAAATGGTTGCAGTGGATGAAAGGATGCATTAGCTCAACCTGGTTTTCAATCCTCTTGAATGGAGAGTCCAAAGGCTACTTCAAGGCAAGCAGAGGTCAAGATAGAGATGTCCTCTCTCCCCTTTTCTTTTTACTGTGTGATGGATGTTTTCAGTTAGCTCGTAGATAAGGCAAAAAATCTAAATTTAATAGAAGGTTTTGAAGTAGGAAGGTGCCCTCAACATGTCCCACCTCCAATTCACAGACGATATTTTTCTCTTCCTGGAAGCTAATCTGGAGAACATAATCAATGTGCAAAGGGTCCTGAACTGCTATGAACTAGTCACTGGACTGAGGGTTAACTACACAAAGAGTGGTATGGTGACAATCAATTCAATTGAAGTTCTTTTGGAATGTTTCAAGGAAATTCTGAACTGTTGAGTGGAAAACCTTCCCCTTACTTATTTAGGGTTGCATTCAGGTGGGAACCCAAAAGGTCCAAGTTTCTGGGAGCCGGTGTAGGGAAAATGTGAAAAGAAGCTAGACACTTGGAAACGTTGTTACATATCTAAAGGGGGGAGACTTACACTCATTAAGAATTCCCTTGCAAATCTGCCCATCTATTTCTTCTCAGTGTTCTAGATTCCTGCCAAAATCAGAGCATCGATTGAGAAACTTCAAAGAGACTTCCTTTGGGAAGGTGGAGGGAAGAAAAGAAGTCATCTAGTGAGATGGGCTCAGACCTATAAATCTAAAGCGGCTAGCTAGAGGGCTGGAAATTGGTCACCTGAAAGAGAAAAACACTTCTCTACTTGGAAAACGGTTGTGGAGATTCCCTACAGAGACAAACCCTCTTTGGGCAGCTATCATCACAAGTACGGGTTGGACACCAACGGTTGGGACTGTAACCTTCATTCAAACCAAGTAGCTTCATGAAGCCCTTGGAAAGGTATCACCTCAACTTATAACTACTTCTTTCCTTTCACAAGGTTTAAAATGGGCAACGGTCCACCCTGTAGGCAAGTTCTCTTCCAAATCTTTATTCAAGGTTCTGGTTGCAGAGGAGCAAGATTGTCACTTACCTTTCAAGGTCTGGTGCAACTACATCCCCTCTAGAGTGTGTTTCTTTGTTTGGGAGGCCTACCTGCATAAGATAAACACTTGGGAGCTGTTGCAAAAGAAGAATTTTGGCAGACTTTTCACCTCCCCTAATGTCTGCATTCCTTGCCTGAGAGAAGGGGAATCAATTGATCATCTTTTCACCCACTACCAGGAAACCAGGGACATTTGGAGCCATTTTCTACAGCTAGCTGGGTACAGTAGGGTTGCTCCAAATCACCTCCAGGACTTGCTCCATCAGTAGCAAGGCAAAGGATTGAGTAAAAGAGGTCAGGTGTATTGGCAAATAGTACTGCATGTTGTACTTTGGTGAGTTTGGGAAGAAAGGAACAACCGCCTGTTTGAGAATAAGGCTAATTCAAAGACTGATCTGATCTCTCACATTGCCTATCTTTGTAATCAGTGAGCTTCCAGCTCAGATAAGTTCAAAGGAGTCTCTATAGATGACCTTAACAGGGATGTTGGTTTTTTCC